GCTTAGGAAGCTTTTAATGCATTACTGTATTTTAATATTGTGTTGGAAGCCACCCAGAGTGGCTGAGGAAACCCAGCCAGATGGGCGGGGTATAAATAAATTATTATTATTATTATTATTATTATTATTATTATTATTATTCTTCGAACACAAGAGCAACATTCTCCCCTCCTTGGGCTTCCAGCAACTGGGGTTCAGAAGCCTTCATAACATAAGACTAGCCTGCTGGATCTGGCCCAGCATCCTGTTCAGAGAGTGGGAAAACACCCGTAAAAGCCAGAAGAATCCAGATAGACTCTCTCTGGACCTGGAGGTTCCATCAGGTGTTCCCAAGCAGGGCTTAGCAGGGCCGATTTCCATGTTGAATTCAAAATCCTCCTCAAGGGCACTCCTCTCCCCTTCAGACGTGCCAGCAGGGGGGCAGGCAAGCCAGGCCCCCACCTCCTGCCTGTCCCCTGTGATGCCCAGAGGGGGGTGAGGCAGACCCTCAGAGGCAGGACATGGGCTTTGCCCAGTTCCCATCACCTCCAAGGGGAAATAAGTGAAGTGCAGAAGAAGGAAGGGAGGAGGAGGGGGCCTGGAAATCCTGGTCCCTGCCTTGCAGGTCTTTTCCCACCTGGCCTGAGAGGGCAGAGCCCGGACTGACTCCAACTACAAAAAAACAGCAACCCTGAGGCTGCTGAACAGACTCTTGGGCTGGGGGGGGGGTACTGTTTGGAGAGGGGGTCATTGTTGCTGCTGTTATTGCTGTTGGCTTTCTGTGGCTTTGTTTTTCATTTTGTTGTACAGTAATTTATGTGGCAATTGTTCAGTTTGGTTTTGTATCCTTTAAAGCTTTATTTATTCTTTATGAATGACAACCTATGTTATGTTGCAGATACGCTTTCTTTTCATGTTGTAAGGCAGCCTCAACATGGTTTGAACCGTGGAAATGCAGCATGTGAAGAAGGGAGGGAGGGAGGGAAGGGAAGGGAAGGGAAGGGAAGGGAAGGAGGGAGGGAAGGAAGGAAGGAAGGAAGGAAGGAAGGAAGGAAGGAAGGAAGGAAGGGTGTTTTTTCCCTGCACTCCTGCAGTGTCTCCCAAGACAGAATGAGGGTGGACTCGAACCCATGGCTTCAAGTTACAAGAAAGGAGATTCTGACTAAATATCAGGAGGAACATTCTGACAGTCAGAGCTGTTCGACTGTGGGATGGAAGCGGGTGGCCTCTCCTTCCTTGGAGGTTTCTAAGCAGATGCTGGACGGTCATCTGTCATGGATACTTTAGCTGTGGTTCCGGCTTTGCTGGGGGTTAGACTAGATGACCTTTGGTGTCCCTTCCAGCTCTGCCGTTCTATGATTCTACCTTTCTACCATGTTTTCTTCAGATTCTCCTCCTGATTCCAGAACTGGCCCTGTCACAGGCACCACAGAACACCTGCTCCGCCTTCGGAGTAGTGGCACCTGCACTCTGGAACTCCCTGCCACTTGACACCAGGCAGGTGCCTTCCCTGTACTCCTTTCCACACCTGCTAAGAACATTTTTCCCTACCCAGACACGGACGGTGCCAGTGTACGTTTTAATCTGTTTTCATTTCATTGCTGACTTTATTTCTGAGTGTTTTAAAGAGCTGTGTTTACCGATTATTTCATTGTTTCCTCCTCCTTGCGGACTGCTGCGCAGCTGTTGTGTTTTACAATCGAGCCGTGTCTAAATTTCACGGAATAAAGCCAAAAAGCCCAGAGTCTCCCGCTGCACTTTCCAAGTTCGCCAGAGGACGGTTTCTCCAGACATCTCTTTTTCAGAGCGTCATCTGAAGAGATGGCGAAGAGACTGGCCATCACTGCCTTGCCCGACATTTGCCTTTGCTGCGGTCAGCCTCCTCTGGAGTAAAGCCGTGGCAGCCAGCTGCCTGCCAGCTGCCCCTTCCCCTCTGAACTGCAGTTAAGCCGGGCTCCTCCAGGACAAGGCCAGCGCCAGATTGTCACTTAACTCTGCTTTGCATTCATCTACTTAAGCCTAGATGGTTCCTTTCTTGCTGTGCTTTGTAATATAGAATTTATTCCATGTTTGCCTTTGCTGTCATTTGAGTTTACCGACATGCTCCGTGTTTTGTCTCTTTGAATTTCCAAGGCTCTGTGTTTCGATGTTTTGAATGTTTGCTGGAATCAGCTGAGGGAGCAGCTCCTGCTTAGAAAGCAGCATCTAAGTAAACTCAGTCCGTCCGTCCGTCAATCAATCAATCAATCAATCAATCATCTTTGCTAATGCCCCAGAGGTCTGGAGGGAGGGGGGAATGGAGGGCTGTCCCTTCCCTTCCCTCCCCCTCCCCTTTTATGAAGATCACCCGCTCTGGGATCCCACAGCTAATTCTCCCCTGGTCTCCTCGCTGGCCCAAGTAGGAGCAATTCAGCCAGCTAGCCCTGGGGATTATCTAATGCTTATTTCCCCTAAATTGATTTTTGAGTTTTATTATTATTCATTTTTTTATACTGTATTTTATGCTGCTTTTATAATTAAGCATTTTAAATTTGTTGTTAGCAGCCCTGAGCCCAGTTTTGAACTGGGAAGGGCAGGGTATAAATAAAATTTTATTACCTTATTATTATTATTATTATTATTATTATTATTATTATTTAAACCCTGTTACCTCCTCAGCTTCTGACATCACCCCTCCAATTCTGCTTATTATTATTCAGAGGCACAAAAGGCCCCCAGGTGGGCAGGAGGACAGCCTGGGATCAGGGAGGGTGACAAAGGAACCACAATTCTGCAAGCCAGGGGTTTTCGTGGGGTGGGGAGGAGAAGGGGAGATTCTGGCTGAGAAGGTGATGGAAGAAGGGGAGTCTTTCTTGGCGCTGCTCCTGCAGTGTTGCAGAGCGATAAGAGGAAAACTAAGCCCCCTTTGATGTGTGTGCCTATGGAGCCAAGAATCCAGAAACACTCATTATTCCAGGTTGACACCAAAACATAGACTGCAGGGGCAGATTGAAGCACCCTTTGAGTGCTGGATGGTGCCTTGCAGGGCTGGAGGAAAGGCAGCAGGGTCCCCCATCCGATCCAGCGCAGGATGAGGCCTCAAAAGGTGTCAGCTGCCTCTCCAGCTTCAGCCCAGAAGCCGTTCAGGGCACAGCGCAGCTCCTGCAAAACCCTGCTGCAAGAGACTGGGAGGTAGCTCTGCCCCACAACCGACGGCTGCCATATTTTGAAGAACGAAAAAGAGGACACGTCTGCCAACTTTTGACTATGGATCACTGTGACGACTCTCGTTTTACATACCTGTGGAAAAGAGGACGTGTCCTGGGAAAAGAGGACATATGGCAACCCAGGCACCACCCAAACTTCTCCCAGCACTTTTGTAGTCGTTTAGTCGTCTCCGACTCTTCATGACCCCCTGGACTGGAGCACGCCAGGCACTCCTGTCTTCCACTGCCTCCCGCAGTTTGGTCAAACTTATGCTGGTAGCTTCGAGAACACTGTCCCACCATCTCGTCCTCTGTCGTCTCCTTCTCCTTGTGCCCTCCATCTTTCCCAGCATCAGGGTCTTTTCCGGGGAGTCTTCTCTTCTCATGAGGAGGCCAAAGTCTTGGAGCCTCAGCTTCACAATCTGTCCTTCCAGTGAGCACTCAGGGCTGATTTCCTTCAGAATGGAGAGGTTTGATCTTCTTGCAGTCCATGGGACTCTCAAGAGTCTCCTCCAGCACCAGAATTCAAAAGCATCAATTCTTCGGTGATCAGCCTTCTTTATGGTCCAGCTCTCACTTCCGTACATCACTACTATAGCACTAGGCACAAGAAAATAAGCAGAGCCTGGCTGCTGGATCAGGCCCAAATGGACCCACCTAGTCCAGCATCCTGTCCTCACAGTGGCCAACCGGACGCCTCAATGGTGTTACAGAAAAATCTAGGTGTGAGGCTGCTCAGTCCCCCAGCTGGTCAGGCAGAGCAGGTCCCTGCGGAATAAAGGAAGGAGTGCAGCCACCAACCGGAGCAAATTGCTGAAGATCCGAGTTTATTGCGCAACAGGTTCAAAGGAGATTGAACCCCGAGGATGGGGTGACAAGGACTTTTAAATCTTTCCCACCGTATCCCAGAATACAGTTCGTACAGCATCACTGATACATCATTGCTACATCACTGACATGTCACAAAAGGGGAGGGTTACACATGTTTAGCATAGACAGATGTGTCAGGGCAACACACAAGTATAAGATTAGTGTAGACAAATATGTCTTAAGTACCCACCACCCAAAAGTACAATAGAAGTTCCTTTGCCTGTCTGGAGCCTGAGGTGAGTCAGGTGATGAGATTTGGCTTCCTTTGGCTAACAATCAGCTCAGCAATTGTCACCCCTGGCCACTTCCTGGAGTCCTTTTTCAAGGGAAAATAGCTTTGGAATGGAGGAAACTGGCAAGGAGTTGATTTTATATTATTTTTTAAAAGCTAGGTGACTTCCCTGAGCTGTCAAGTTGAAAGGATACATTCAGGCATAATATTTGTAACATTTAACAACTTTAAAGATGTGTCTCCCCCCCCCCCCCCGTAATTTCCGTAACAGTGGCCATTGCTGCTTCCTATGGTAGCCCCATGTAGGGGCGTGACAAGATCCAGTCCTGGGGGGCACTGAAGAATCTGGGGCAAGATCCCTCTCCTCCAGAAAGGGGTGCCACCTGCACACGGGGCGGGCATTCAGCTGCGATGTGAGAAGTGGGTCTGGAAGGGGGCAGCCCCAAAGCAAGCGTCTCCCAGAGCCCATCAGCGCCAGCTGGGCCTGAAAAGCGGAAGGGAGGAGGGGACATTCTACCACATGTGGTGGGATTGTAATGAAATTAAGAAATTTGGGAAATGATATACAATGAATTGAAGAAAATGTTCCATCTAACGTTTGTCAAAAAACCTGAAGCATTTCTGTTAGGGGTTGTAGGAAAAGACCTGCCAAGGAAGATGAAAAATATCTTCATGTATGCGACAACGGCCGTGAGAGTCTTAATAGCACAAGGATGGAAATCCCGACTAAAGAATCATGGCAAGAGAAATGGATGGACTATGCAGAACTGGCAAAACTGACACATAAACTACGGGACAAGGATAACTGTGACTTTAAAGAGAAATGGGAACCTTTTACAAAGTACCTAAAGAAGCAACAAAGTGACTTGGACTCTTTGGCAGGCTTTGAATAAACACTGACAAACTTTTTATTGATAATAATCAGTTAAGATAAATTAAGGACTTATACAATTCTGTAACATGCAGAGAATAGTGAAACCAGAGATTGGAACTGAGGGAAGTCGGGGGGGGCAGGGAAGGGGGTTGTTTTATAGGGGGAGGGGGAAGGGGGGGAATTAAGGATGATATGTTTTAAGATAATATGTTTTGTTGAATTACCTAATAAAGAAAAAAGAAAGAAAAGAAAAGAAAAGCGGAAGGGACGTCAGCCTGGCCTTGGCAGCGCCTGCGAAGCCCCTGGCATCTCGCAGGCAAACAAGCCCGGTTCCTCGTTTGCATGGCTTGGCAGGCGCGGCGGGGAAGGAAGAGCCGTCCGTTCTCTCGGCAAACACCTCCCTGCGAGCTGCCAGCGTGGAAACTCATTAGATGAAGCTTTAATATCAGATCCATCCATGCAAGCCAAGGCCTGATTGGCAGGAGGGCTTTGCGAGACGTGCCAGGCAAGGTTCTCCACCAGAACAAGGCAGGCAGCTCCTCCTTCATTGGGATGCAGAGGCAGCTGCCGGCTGTCAGGCGGAGGAGGAAAATCGGGGGGGGGGAGGGACCTGCGGAGAGAGGCGGCCAGAGGCAGGCGGGCAGAGAGGCCTCTTCCAAAGGGAGGACCGGCCCTTCCAGCCAAAACCCAGCCTGCCTCTTCAGAAGCCGGCTGTCCAGATGATCTCCATCACAAAAAGGGGAGAATCTGCAAAATCCATCCCTTGAATTGTGGCATAAAAACATACGCAACAAGGCAGTCGCTGAGAAAATAACTCATAATCTCCACATCCTAAAGGGAAAAGAACCCAGGGAATGTTTTTACACAATGTGTCAGGACTTGAACATTTTGCGTCTCAACTAGCAAACTGCAGGACTCCGGTGAAGGAAAGAAGAGAGACGTTCAGACTTCCTGAGGAGGAGAGCGCTTTAAACATCTATATGGGAATAGGGGAAAGTAAGGTAAAGGACCCCTGGATGGTGAAGTCCAGTCAAAGGCGACTCTGGGGTCGCGGCGCTCATCTTGCTTTCAGGCCGAGGAGTGGCCGTTTGTCCACAGACAGCTTTCTGGATCATGTGGCCAGCAGGACTAAACCGCTACTGGTGCAACAAAACACTGTGATGGAAACCAGAGCACATGGAAACGCTGCTTACCTTCCTGCCACAGCGGTATCCCAGTTGTAGACCGAAGAGCACAGCTATTTTCAGATCACTGCAGACGTGCCAAGCCAAGTTGAGCTGAATGAATTCTAGAAGAACTGGCAGGTTGCCGTGCAATTCCTACATAGGGAGGGCATAAGCACCTTGGTTTAAGGAGGAGATTGGCAAGCCTGAAGGTGGGTAGAAGAGGGTGGCTGAGAGGGTCTGGAAACCAAGCCTTGTGAGGAACGGCTGGGGGAATTAGGCATGTTTAGCCTGGAGAAGTGGGATGCGGGTGGCTCTGTGGGTTAAACCACAGAGCCTAGGACTTGCCGATCAGAACGTTGCTCGGTCCCTGCTCCTGCCCACCTAGCAGTTCGAAAGCACATCAAAGTGCAAGTAGATAAATAGGTACCACTCCAGCGGGAAGGTGAACGGCATTTCCGTGCGCTGCTCTGGTTCACCAGAAGTGGCTTAGTCATGCCGGCCACATGACCTGGAAAAACTGCAGACAAATGCCAGCTTCCTTGGCCAGTAAAGATGAGTGCCGCAACCCCAGAGTAGGCCATGACTGGACCTAATGGTCAGGAAGCCGGCATACAGCTTCCGGGTCATGTGGCCAGCATGACTAAGCCGCTTCTGGCGAACCAGAGCAGCGCACGGAAACGCCATCTACCTTCCTGCCAGAGTGGTACCTGTTGATCTACTTGCACTTTGACGTGCTTTCGAATTGCTAGGTGGGCAGGAGCAGGGACTGAACAACAGGAGCTCACCCTGTCGCGGGGATTTGAACCGCTGACCTTCTGATCGGCAAATCCTAGGCTCTGTGATTTAACCCACAGCGCCACCCGCATCCCACGGCTTTGGTGGTACTGGAAGCTATTACTATCTTCAACGGGTCTTAGAGCAGATGGTGAATTCAGATATTGTACAGTAAGGTGAGATTTCATCTGCGACAAGGTCTTCTGCCTCTTGCCAGACCAGCAGTATAGCAAACCGCATCCTGCAAGATCCGTCTTTTAGCCAAGCTGTCAGTGGAGTTACAAATACGTGGAGCCCGTGGTTTGTCTTGTCTCCTGCCTTAATTTGGAAATAAAGTTCAAATGCCTTTTGCAGAAGGAAAACTTGGTTTCTGAGATTTAAGAACACATGAGGCCTGTTGGCTCAGACTAAGCCCCCTGCTCTCACAGTGGCCAGACTCAAGTAAGACCCCGGCACAAGAGCCTTCTCCCCTCCTATGGTTTCCATAGGAGTTCAGAAGAATTGCTATCTCCACTGTTAAAGGCTGGGAACTGTTCCTTTTCCCTTATGGGGTATCCAAGAGCCCGTATAGAGTCCTTACGTAGGTTCCCCATTGGTAGGAGAAAATAACAGAGGCCAAGCAGAGAATATTTGGAAGCAAAGCAGCTCGTAAGCCTGATGTTTACTGATCTGTTGCAACAGGGTCCTAGAATCATAGAATCATAGAATTATAGAGTTGTAAGAGACCACAAGGGCCATCGAGTCCAACCCCCTGCCAAGCAGGAAACACCATCAGAGCACTCCTGACATATGGCTGTCAAGCCTCTGCTTAAAGACCTCCAAAGAAGGAGACTCCACCACACTCCTTGGCAGCAAATTCCACTGTCGAACAGCTCTTACTGTCAGGAAGTTCTTCCTAATGTTTAGGTGGAATCTTCTTTCTTGTAGTTTGGATCCATTGCTCCGTGTCCGCTTCTCTGGAGCAGCAGAAAACAACCTTTCTCCCTCCTCTATGTGACATCCTTTTATATATTTGAACATGGCTATCATATCACCCCTAAACCTCCTCTTCTCCAGGCTAAACATGCCCAGCATCCTAAGCCGTTCCTCATAAGGCATCGTTTCCAGGCCTTTGACCATTTTGGTTGCCCTCCTCTGGACACGTTCCAGTTTGTCAGTGTCCTTCTTGAACTGTGGTGCCCAGAACTGGACACAGTACTCCAGGTGAGGTCTGACCAGAGCAGAATACAGTGGCACTCTCAAGCCAGGTGTCCCCCATCTTGTATTTGTGCCTCTCATTTTTTTTGCCCAAGTGCAATACTTTACATTTCTCCCTGTTAAAATTCATCTTGTTTGTTTTGAAGTGTGATCCTGTCCTCTGGGGTGTTAGGCACCCCTCCCAGTTTGGTGTCATCTGCAAATTTGATCAGGATGCCCTTGAGTCCATCATCCAAGTCGTTGATAAAGATGTTGAATAAGACCGGGCCCAAGACAGAACCCTGTGGCACCCCACTAGTCACTCTTCTCCAGGATGAAGAGGAACCATTGATGAGCACCCTTTGGGTTCGGTCAGTCAGCCAGTTACAAATCCACTGAGTGGTAGCATAGTCAAGACCGCATTTTACCAGCTTCTTTACAAGAATATCATGGGGCACCTTGTCAAATGCCTTGCTGAAATCAAGGTAGGCTACATCCACTGCGTTCCCTTCATCTACCAGGCTTGTAATTCTGTCAAAAACGAGATCAGGTTAGTCTGACATGACTTGTTTTTCAGAAATCCATGCTGACTATTGGTGATCACAGCATTCCTTTCTAGGTGCTCACAGACTGTTTGCTTAATGATCTGCTCCAGAATCTTCCCTGGTATTGATGTCAGACTGACTGGGCGGTAATTATTTGGGTCCTCTCTTTTCCCCTTTTTGAAAATAGGGACAACATTTGCCCTCCTCCAGTCTGCCGGGACTTCGCCTGTTCTCCAGGAATTCTCAAAGATGACTGCCAGTGGTTCTGAGATCACATCTGCCAGTTCTTTTAATACTCTTGGATGCAGTTCATCTGGCCCTGGAGACTTGAATACATCTAAACTAGCCAAGTATTCTTGTACTATCTCCTTAGTTATTCTGGGCTGTGTTTCCTCTGCTGAATCATTTGCTCCAAATTCTTCAGGTCGGGCATTGTTTTCTTTATCGGAGAAGTCTGAGGCAAAGAAGGCATTGAGGAGTTCAGCCCTTTCTGTGTCCCCTGTTTGCATTTCACCATCTTCTCCTCTGAGTGACCCCACTGTTTCTTTGTTCTTCCTTTTGCTGCTTTTAACCTCTCTAGCAAGCCTGAGTTCATTCTGTGCTTTAGCTTTTCTGACTTTTTGTCTACACGTGCTGGCTATTTGTTTGAATTCCTCTTTGGTGGTTTCCCCCTTTTCCATTTTTGTACACATCCTTTTTAATCTTAACTCAGTTAAAAGTTCTTTAGATAGCCACCCTGGCTTCTTTAGGCACCTTCCATGTTTCCGTCTCATTGGTATTGCCTGAAGTTGTGCTTTTACTATCTCCTCTTAACAAACTCCCAGCCATCATGAACTCCCTTTCCTTTTAGTATTACTGTCCATGGGATCTCACCCAGCACTTCCCTAAGTTTTATGAAGTCGGCTTTCTTAAAGTCAAGAAATTGAGTCCTAGTATGCTTGGCTGCTCCTTTCCGCTGTATAGTAAACTTCAGAAGAGCATGATCACTCGCGCCTAATGATCCTTCCACTTCTACCCCACTAACCAGGTCATCAACATTGGTTAGGACCAGATCTAAAATGGCTGTTCCTCTTGTTGCTTCTCCCACTTTCTGGACAATGAAGTTGTCTGCAAGGCCAGTGAGGAATCTGTTTGACCTTATGCTCTTGGCTGAGTTTGACATCCAACAAATATCCGGGTAATTGAAGTCCCCATTACTACTATCTCCCTTCCTTTTGCATGCTTGGCCATCTGTTCCAGGAAGGCATCATCTATGTCCTCCGTTTGGCTTGGGGATCTATAGTAAACTCCCACAATGAGGTCACTGTTATTCTTCTCTCCCTTAATTTTGACCCAAATGCTCTCACTTTGGCTTTGAGGTTCTAAATCTTGGAT